GGCCTGTGTGTATGTGCGTACATGTGTCTGTCTCAGTGTGGTGTGTAATTGGAAAGGGGATATGTCTGTGTGTTTTTATTGGATGAGACTGGGAAAGCGAGAGGAGAAAACAACAACAGATGGTTGAAATATTGAACGCACACTGAAACTAATACATATTATCAGTCATGACATGACGGCAACAGGATACTGGTCGGGTGAGGTTGTGTTTCTCTAGCGGGAGGTAAGCTTGGCTTCTTATATGGTGTCGAGTAAAGCTTAAACCATGTATTTAGATTGTAGGTAGGTATTGTAGTTAGGTATTGTAGGTAGTTTATCTAGGTAGTTATTGTAGGTAAGTATTGTATTCGGCTGAGCCCGGTGAAGCACGAGGCTAGCTAACCCACTACCTGGACCAATAAAACTAGCTAGCTAGCGGGTAGCTACTGGTAACTATTAGCAACTGTGGATAGTTGTTTCCAATGTTATTTCACGCTTAAGAGTACCTGTAATTATGCCAGCTAGCTACCTACCATTCAGCTGTTTTTTCTAACCTCATTATCTGAAGCGTTAACGTTAGGTAGTTAGTAGCTACTGTACTCGAAATATAGCTAGCTTGTTGTTACCTGGATAGCTAACTAAACAATAGCTGGAATGACCTAGCTGTAATATTTGGAGACGCTTTCTCTCCGTTGGGACAGACGCGAACTGGCTGAATCGATTCAGTGGCTAGCTTTGCACTTAACTGGCTAACAGTAGCTACTAAGGGTAAGTTATAACATGCATTTATTTTTGTTTTGTTTTTACATACTGGTAACCAGAGTCGTTCAAGGGAATTCGGGACATGGGTGACTAGTTAACGTTAGCTTGGCTCTCTCTGTGTTTCGTGCCGTGGGATGAGGGATTGGTTTGTTGGCAGAGAGCAATGGCTAGCTAGTATGCTAACTATTCTAGCTAACTAACTGGCTGAATAAGTTGACAAAGTTCTTACTCAAACTGTCAAAACTAACCCAAAACTTTACACAACGTTAGATACGGACACGAATGATCTGTTTGGCGTGTTAACACACTGGTGAATAAAATAGGAGTCCCCATTTAAGTCAATGATTTGTCTGTTCTATTCATTCTATGTCTATGCATTTAATGCTATCCCATAGGCAAAATCCAGATAGATAACTTTAGAAAAACTGGGCCCAGGGCAGTAGGATTTCAATCTTCAACTTTAATTGTTTCCCAGCCCTCATGTGATTGATCAGCGGCACAGCGAATCAAACTGCAATTTATTACACGGCAGGAGCAAAAGATTGTGTAAGAGGAATCAGCACGCTTTTGATTAGGATCCAACGTTGATTACTGGAACAGCTGTAGTCAGTGAATTAATAGGATATTTTCCTTAGTTGTTTTTTTTGTTTATGTTATAGTACTCCAAATTCACAGATGTTGTTTTGATCAAGTACAATCTATATGTGTCAGACCATTGTGGATACCTGGACACCTGTATCAGAGATATTAACCCTAACCATAACCCATACTAAGAGCCAGACTACACAGATTCAGTTGAGCATGTGTGGTCCTATTGTAATTAATCATCTTAAAATCACTACCCCAGACTGTCAGACATTGGCACAAGACTTTCTACGATTTGTCCAAATTATGTTATTGATTATGGAAGTACTTTCTTTTCACATTATACTGGCCTCTGCTGGCCATTCATGGAGTTGACTGGATTTGACATCCACAGTCGATGTAATACTTTTTGTTTAAAGAAAAGAGTATCATGTGCCATAATGTAAAGTATACTTATATGGAAAACTTTTCGGTTTTTATTCCTTTTAATACATGACCAACAATATGGGTGCCCTGTTGAAATGTGTGTAGATGCCTGTTATACAACGAAATAGCCACACCAAACCAGACAATGTTTATCGAATTGAATGAAGGCAGTTGATATAGACATTTGTTTTTGTTATTTTTCTTATTTCCTTCTTATCAACTGTCCTTCACTTCCTGTGTCTGTAGATTGTGATTCTGTGCAGTTCTCTCACGGGTAGCTAAGACTCCTGGTGTGTTGGCCAAACATCCAGGCCATGAGGGAAATGTCACAGCACTCCTGCTAAGTCATGACCTCCACTGAACAGTAATTGATGTGCAGGGTCACTGTAAGTTCATGAACAACAGACATTCACGCACACAGTCACATATCCATGCACACATGTATACACGCACACGCCTGCACTCACAAGCATGCATGCATGCATTCACACTCACTCATGCACACAGTTACAGTGGGGAAAAAAGTATTTAGTCAGCCACCAATTGTGCAAGTTCTCCCACTTAAAAAGATGAGAGAGGCCTGTCATTTTCATCATAGGTACACGTCAACTATGACAGACAAAATGAGAAAAACAAAATCCAGATAATCACATTGTAGGATTTTTTATGAATTTATTTGCAAATTATGGTGGAAAATAAGTATTTGGTCAATAACAAAAGTTTCTCAATACTTTGTTATATACCCTTTGTTGGCAATGACACAGGTCAAACATTTTCTGTAAGTCTTCACAAGGTTTTCACACACTGTTGCTGGTATTTTGGCCCATTCCTCCATGCAGATCTCCTCTAGAGCAGTGATGTTTTGGGGCTGTCGCTGGGCAACACGGACTTTCAACTCCCTCCAAAGATTTTCTATGGGGTTGAGATCTGGAGACTGGCTAGGCCACTCCATGACCTTGAAATGCTTCTTACGAAGCCACTCCTTCGTTGCCCGTGTGGTGTGTTTGGGATCATTGTCATGATGAAAGACCCAGCCACGTTTCATCTTCAATGCCCTTGCTGATGGAAGGAGGTTTTCACTCAAAATCACACGATACATGGCCCCATTCATTCTTTCCTTTACATGGATCAGTCGTCCTGGTCCCTTTTCAGAAAAACAGCCCCAAAGCATGATGTTTCCACCCCCATGCTTCACAGTAGGTATGGTGTTCTTTGGATGCAACTCAGCATTCTTTGTCCTTCAAACATGACGAGTTGAGTTTTTACCAAAAAGTTATATTTTGGTTTCATCTGACCATATGACATTCTCCCAATCCTCTTCTGGATCATCCAAATGCACTCTAGCAAACTTCAGACGGGCCTGGACATGTGCTGGCTTAAGCAGGGGGACACGTCTGGCACTGCAGGATTTGAGTCCCTGGCTGCGTAGTGTGTTACTGATGGTAGGCTTTGTTACTTTGGTCCCAGCTCTCTGCAGGTCATTCACTAGGTCCCCCCGTGTGGTTCTGGGATTTTTGCTCACCGTTCTTGTGATCATTTTGACCCCACGGGGTAAGATTTTGCGTGGAGCCCCAGATCGAGGGAGATTATCAGTGGTCTTGTATGTCTTCCATTTCCTAATAATTGCTCCCACAGTTGATTTCTTCAAACCAAGCTGATTACCTATTGCAGATTCAGTCTTCCCAGCCTGGTGCAGGTCTACAATTTTGTTTCTGGTGTCCTTTGACAGCTCTTTGGTCTTGGCCATAGTGGAGTTTGGAGTGTGACTGTTTGAGGTTGTGGACAGGTGTATTTTATACTGATAACAAGTTCAAACAGGTGCCATTAATACAGGTAACGAGTGGAGGACAGAGCAGCCTCTTAAAGAAGAAGTTACAGGTCTGTGAGAGCCAGAAATCTTTTTTGTTTGTAGGTGACCAAATACTTATTTTCCACCATAATTTGCTAATAAATTCATTAAAAATCCTACAATGTGATTTTCTGGATTTTTTTTCTCAATTTGTCTGTCATAGTTGACGTGTACCTATGATGAAAATTACAGGCCTCTCTCATCTTTTTAAGTGGGAGAACTTGCACAATTGGTGGCTGACTAAAAACATTTTTTCAGCAAGTCCCTACAGCTTTTCTACCGGGGGACCAAAAGAGATGTCATTGAAAATCATGTCATCCTAACAGTTTCCTGGGCTGGTGGAAGAGCTGCCTCTTCAAAATCACTGTACCCTCCCACTGGGCACAGATGTCAGTTCAACATCTATTTTGGATTTACATTTGGTTGAGTTGTCAACTAACCTGAATTCAATGTGAAATCTGGACGGCAGGTAGCCTGGCGGTTAAGAGTGTTCAATTCAATTACTTTTTGCAAGTCCAATCAGTTTTTCACGTCATCACATTGAATGTTTTAGTTGAAAGGATGTGGTAACAACATTGATTCAAACAGTTTTTGCCCAGTGGGATGACAACACTGTGACACTCAGTGGAGTACCGTTTTAGGTAAAATATGTACATGAAGGACTACACACACACACACACACACACACACACACACACACACACACACACACACACACACACACACACACACACACACACACACACACACACACACACACACACACACCTTCCCAAACACTGTTGTCAAACATGTTTGTTAGTTGTAAGAGGAAGGACCCCAGTCAGTTGTATTCAGTTCTTTGTTGTTTTGTCTGAGGCTCTGGTGGGTAAGGCCAATATTGCCCGGTCACACCGTTGTCCCTGTGAACCAGAGACAAAAGCCTCTAGCGGACCAGGAAGAGGCCCTGTTGTCTACAGGAAGTCCTCAGGATAAATTCTCTAGTTTGTAGGCTAAACTTAGACATATATGGCTGGTTGGGTTGGTTTATGTTGGGAAGGCAAGGGTCTAGAAGGAGAAAAAAGTATATGCTAGGCGGAAACGCACAAAGACCTGTGGTGTATTGCTTAAGTGATGTTTACGGCAAAGTGTGTATGTGTGTGAATAAAATATACAGCATAGCAGGCAGTAAACAAGTTAAAATGTATCTCTCTTTATTGAACCTTTGACAATCGACAAATTCTACTTCATATTTGTACAGTGACACAAGCATTCCGATCCTCTTTCCTAAAATATTGTCCACAGGATTCAAACATACAACTGAATTTTTGTGGTAACATTAAAGAGTACATCATCGCTGCATCCAATACAAGGAAACAGATAACCCCAAACCACACCTAAGAGACACATTAATGAGTATACCAATCCTGAACCAAGATGATCTGTAAAATATCAAGATGGTCCTTCTTTTGAAAGAAAACAGAGTTAAAGAGAACATAATATGTTATGTACATCATGGAGTGCCTGTGTGTAGTGGCGAGATGTATCCTACAACGTTTGAGTTCATGGTCACTGGGTCATACAGTGGTCAAGCTGAGGTCAAGCTGTGGCTAGTGGTGGCATCGACCTTGTTGAAATAATGCCTGAGTTTGTACGTGTGGTGCTTCCTGATGACATCACTGTATGACATATGAATGACAAATGCCCAGAGGCATGGTTGTTGTCATTGGAATTTACCTCCCAGCAGCCACTGGACCTGAATAGAGAAATTATTGTAATAGTCTTGTCCTCACGGTACCTAACAACAAAGTGGAAATGTTTTTCAGTTCAGGTTTGTGACAACTACTAAGGACAATAGGAATTTAGTATTCACTCAGGAGAGGACAAAGTAGTTTAGCATTATTTTCATGGATGAAAACAGGATTTGGAATAGACCTGAGAGAGTCTCACAAACATGCATGGCTGAATTACAAAGGACCTATCCCTTTGCAAAACATGAAAACAATTGAAGACACAATTTGTTGTGTATCCCTGCTTGTCTAAAGTGCAACGGTACTTTTACACTTGGGGGGTTAAGGTACTGTAAGGAAGAAAGTAATGATGTTGTCTCAAAATATGTATAATTTACACATTAATGTATTAGGCCACAATACTTTTCCTAGATTAGAAAGTAACATCGATAAATTACATCAAAATAATTTCCCTACATTTGTAAATGTCTCCTATCCCCGGTAAACTGACCATAAATAATGTATGAACAATGTGTAAATGCAAGGGAACATGTACATATTGAAATGTATCTAGGCTATTTTCTTACACTTAAATAATTCATATCTATTATATAAGCACAATAAAATAGTAGGTAAAGACATTTAAATGCATTGCTACTTTGGTTCCATAATCATGAAGGTGGGAGTTGGGCAATGCTATAATTCACAAATGTACAGCTACATAGCTCTTTCCTTGTTTCCCATCCCAAACAGTGGTCTGTGGTTGAATCAAGGGTGGTCTGTGCGATTGACGTTGGCCCAAGGGGTGGTCCAAAGTGCCTAAAATGAAATGAGGTGGTAGCATGACGTGTTCTGGGATGATTCGAGAATGAAGACGTCCTTTGCTAGTTCATGGTGGCCCAAAGTGCCTTGGAAGTGGCTTAACCTAACCTAACCCAACCCAACCCAACTTAGTCTGGTTTGGCCCGGTGGAACTCTAGTTCTCAGTCCTGGGTTTCCAACCCTTCTAGGTGTTCGGGGATGGGCAGGCCCGTGAGGACAGTCAGACACTTGTTCCACACGTTGAAGACGGGACACACGGGCTGGGTGAAGGACACGTGGAACGTGTGCAGGTGTTGCGAGCCCACGGCGTCGTAGAAGGTAAGTGAGCCGGCGTCGTAGTCCAGCAGGACACCCACGCGGCGCAGGTGTGGCGATGGCTCGATGGCCAGCTCCTTGCTGTTGTGACGCACCACCCACGAGTTGTTGCAGCGGCACAGGACCCAGGAGGCCGAGTTCTTGCCGATCCACTCGTGCTTGGGGGCCGACTTGTAGGCGATGCCCACCGCATACCTGCAGAGAAATAAGTAAGAAGACTGTTAGCCAGCCTCTAAAATCAAAACACTTCAACACTTCTTACATGTGCATTGAATCTTTCTCTGTCTACATTCTATAAATGTGCCTTTAACTGACTTACAATGTGCCATAACATGACCACCCCTTTAGCTCTGTCATTCCTATCCAGACAGATCCAACAGGCCAAACACCATGTGGTTCAGAGCAAGACATCGGTCCATCAGGTCTCCCAGGTCTAACTCACCATGTGCTTCCTCCAATCAGGGCCTCCCAGTAGTGACGTCCGCTGTCGATGTAAACGTTGCCGACGACTCCGTAGCTATTCTGGCTGGTGAAGCGCTCCTGGCCGTGTCCCTTCTTCGATGCCGTCTCGTCGCGCTCCACCGTCAGGTTGTCATGGGAGACCTTCAGCTTCTTGTGGGCGGACTTGGGGTCCAGCTTGAAAGGTTGGCCTGGACGAAGAGGACAGAGAGAGACAACATGGTTACGTTAGCAAAGGGCTAGGATAGGATAGGCTATGAAGGCAGCAGCTGTATGTATGGTGTCCATATTAGGACACCATCCCCGACATGTGATGCTGTGCTAATATGGACACTGTAATAATACATAATATGGTGTCCATATTAGGTAAGAATCACAAGATACTGTGCTTCTTTAAAAATGGCATGTTATAATGCCAAGTTTCCTTATATCGTAATGTATGGAGCCCTTACTGTTGGTTTTGAGTGTTCCTGGCTCACTGCTGCGGGCACCCGCCTGGTTGATGGCTTTGACGATGAAGATGTACTTGGTGCCGCTCTGCAGGCCGTGGACGGTGTAGTGGTTCTGCTTGATGTTAGGCACGATCATCCAGCTGTCTGCAGAGTTACAGAGGCCTGGGATGGAGACACAGACGCACAGTTCCAGTGTTGTCATGCATACACACTCAGCTATGCATTGGTGCATATGAGTGAATACACAAATGGCTCCGTTTGCACACACGTAGTCACATGAACACACACAGAGTGGCTATAACAGACCCACAACACAGAGTACACAGACGTTGTTGTTGAAGTATTGTGGCTTTGATAAACTTTGAAAAGCAAACATCTTCAATTAATTAGGTCACTCGTAAACTGCTGTCAGGCACAATTCCATGACATAAGCAAAGTTAATTGTCACATAATGAGGAAAACTTTGCCTGCCGCAGAGACAGCCAATCCTCAGCCAAGGTAAGTATCATACTTGGACCAAATACCACCATTCACCATTTAATTAAATCCATATTTCCCCAACATATTGCATTTTTTGTTCTTCTGTTAGCGAAGTCTTATCTATAATTTGAACGAGGTCTAGGGTTGAGTCTGTTTGTGTTAGGGAGAGGAGGAAGTAGATGAATGTGTTCCTAGGAGACCAGAGCTAGAGGACAGAGAGGAGTGGTCCAAATTCCACTATCAGTCATTTCCTCAATCTATTCTATTGCCTTTGATCATATCCAAGTGAGAGGGGGAGGATTCATTATCAGTGTTCAGACAAAGCTTCTTGTCCAATATGATTTTGGTATCAGAGGGTGTAGTAAACGTGGAATGATGGGGTGATTTGTCATACAAAGTAAATTCATTATGAAAAATGTGAGTGATCTTCAAAAAGCCACAGTCAGCCAGAATGCATCATAGCATTATGACATTAATATTGATTAATTTATAATCATCCAACACATTCCCTTTCTATTGCGATTAACTCTACTCTGTTGTTTCATGTGGTTACTGTGGGCGTTAGGAGGTTGTAGGTCATTCACATCTCAATGGCTGTGCTATACATGTGATAGGTATATACTAAACTGCGCTATGCCACATTGATGCCCGCAGGCTTAACTCTCTGACAGAGTGGCCATCATGCTGAGTGCACAGTGTATTCTCCGTAAGATTTATGCGACATTTATTTGTGTGCGAACCCATTACACCTTTTTGTCCGTCTCTATAGGCTACCATGTCCCATCATACCCCATCATCATGTCTAACGTGTTCTGAAGGCTTCTGTGCTGTAAATGTACAGTGCACTGTGAATGTACAGTACATTTGCCAATATTTTAAATGGAAAGTGCCATTCTCACCTCACACATGGCAGCCATTTTGGAACGGAGTGCCTGCCACACATTATTTACATTAGTGAGAGAAAACTCAGTCAGTTATTCAATTGCCCTGCAATTAAATGACCCTGAGTGATACCCTATGGGACCAGTGTTTGCCGTCACCCCTTTCCTCTACCGTGTTTTCTAAGATGTGACATTGTGACAACAACTCAGCCTCAGCCCAGAGCTTAGACCTGGTGATTGGATGTGAAACTAGAGCGGGAAGAAAACATAGCAGAGAGGAGGAAGTGGAAAAAAAACAAGTGTCACACTGGGTTTACAGCACCCCTCATGAAAAGTGCTGATGTTGGTAGACTTGAAAAAAAGAAAGGCCCTTAGAGAGTCTTCTGCTCAATGGGGCTCCAAACACAGCAACTGACACAATTGTTATGTTCAATTATCATTCAAGGGTGAACATGGTAGACTTCTATTATACATTTATGTTCATTCATTTTGTATATCGGTATCGAAATACATTCTAAAAGGCATTCAACTTGAGGGCACTGGAGTTTTCAACATGATTTAAGCATGGAAAAAGCCAGTTTTGCAGCAACACTGGTGATGTATTGCAATACTAAAGCTATAGCTCTGGTAGTGTTCAGTTTCTTCTCTTTTTTTGTTGCTAAAATGCTACTTGATGTTTGAAGTGAAGTGAGATGATAACAATAGGAGACATATCATATCCTATTTATTCTCAAATCAATTCAAATCACATTTATTTGTCACATACACGTGTTTAGCAGATGTTATAGCAGGTGTAGCGAAGTGCTTGTGCTTCTAGCTCCGACAGTGCAGTAATATCTAACAAGTAATATTACAATTTCCACAACTATAACCCAATACACACAAAACTAGTAAGGAATGGAATTTAAGAATATATACAAATATGGACAAGTAATGACAGAGCGGCATGGACTAAGATACAGTAGAATATTATAGAATAGAATACAGTATATACATATGAGATGAGTAGTACAAGATATGTAAACATTATTAAAGTGACTAGTGTTCCATTTCTTAAAGTGGCCAGTGATTTCAATAGGCAGCAGCAGCCTCTAATTTGCTAGTGATGGCTATTTAACAGTCGATGGCCTTGAGATAGAAGCTGTTTTTCATTCTCTCGGTCCCAGCTTTGATGCACCTGTACTGACCTCGCCTTCTGATATCTTATAACCTTTTTTGCTAGCCATCCGCTTTCATCAAACCACACTTCTCCTTCTGTTCTCTGAATCTAAGAAGCTATATTTCCCATCCCCTGACCTCATTTTATATTGCTTGCCCAGTGAAGTATGCATGAGTGTGGCTTTCGGCGTGATCCGTGGGGGAGGAGGGCTCTGAGCACTGATTCGTGTTATGACTGTAATTCGAATCAGCTAGTCTCCCTCCCTCTCTCCTTCCCACTCTGTCCCCTTTGACTCTGCAATAACTCAAGCTGAGATCCTGAGATTTGAGCTCACCCCATTGGCCCTATTCAGGCTCGGTGAGAAGAAACGCATGATTCGGTTTTGATTCTTGAGTCCTCCAGCTGTTTGGCTTTCCACTTGATTTTTCGCTTGGCTTTGAGTTGGAAAATACTAGAGTTATCATCAGGAGAGAGTTCTGTGAGAACAAAGCGTTCTCTCAAGGCATTCTGTGGACTTACTAGCACCATTGGCTTGCCATGTGAAGATACCATTGTGTGTCTGGTGGTGTGTCTTGTCTGCCAGAGGGTAGTTTAGCTTACACCCTGATACATACTGACAACATTGGCTTGACCTATGAAGATAGTTGTGTGCTTGGAGGTGTTTCTGGAATGTGTGACTGTATTTTTGCCTACACCCAGATACTTACTGACAACGTTGGCTTGACCTGTGAAGATAGCATACTGGAGTTCATAGGAAAGCACACTGAACTCGTCGTCTGAGGTCCAGTGGACGGTGATGGTGTCGTACGATGCAGTGCAGAGCTCTTCTCTGATGCCCGGAGGACTTGGCGCTAGATATGGGTAATGAGAAATTAGAGAAGGGTAAGAATAGAAAATGTTATGCATGCTCTGGCATAACAATGAAATAACAGTGGTTCACCTTTGAGCGTGCAGTTTTACAGGAGGACTTTTAAAGGAGGACTGAAGGCTAGTGACTTATATTGATTGCCAAGATTTTGCTTGCTAATGATCATTTATAGCCTAGATAATATTTCAGAGGTTGACAGTGTGATTTAGCTGATGACATCTTTTGCTCTCTTCCCCTCCCTAACCCTACTCTCTCTCTTCTCTCATCTCTCTCTCTCCCGCTCCTGCTTTCTCCCTCTCTCTCTCTCTCGCTCTCTCTCTCTCTCTCTCTCGCTCTCTCTCTCTCTCTCTCTCTCTCTATCGCTCTCCCCCTCCGCCAGTGAGTACACATCGATGACTCAGAGTGATTCTCTTAGTGAGCCAGCCCTCAAGCGAAGCCCTCTGCCATCACAAAGACCAAACAAGAATCTCTTCCACAATCTCTAATAAATCCATTCAAATGATGTATCATTTTTTTTGTACTGCAATAACATTGACAATTTTGACATTATGTCGATGTGGAACTTTCAACCCCAGTTAGGTTGAGTGCATATATTGCCAGTGCTTTGATATAGTAGATATCATGATACAAAGCAATATCACGATATAGGCAACAATATCACAGTATATCACGATACCGCCAAATTATCACAATCTATCGCTATTGATTTGAACTATCACTATTGGCGCCCACCACTACTAGTAAGCAGGCTGATTGTACTCTGTACCTGTGAGGTAGTCCAGGCTCTCCAGCAGCTTTTTCTCCTTGGTGAAGTCCAGAGCGAACGTGTCAAACGTGTCCGTCAGGTTGATCTCTGGAATCAGGACCTGAGAGGAGGCGGTCGCCATGGAAACCCTAACACAAACACATTTCCCAGAGGGTTTAGTTCACAACTATCCCACTATGTTGCACATTTTCATAAGATACCAGAGGTCATGTTGGTTGACTGTGAATTCCCAATGGTTAGTCAGAGAGCCTGTGTTTGTAGTGAACTTCTACCATGCCCTCCGTGCTGGCCTGGCTCACCTCTCGGTGATACTCTTGGCGGTCTGGAGGAAGCGGGCGTGGTCCGTCTCCTTCAGGGTCTGGTCGGCCTGGGTGATGAGGGCAGAGGACCTCTCGATGCACTGCTTACAGTTGGAGATCTGCTGAGCTAGCTTCCTAATCCTGACCGCCTGTAGAACAGATAGGACAGAGGGGGGTTAGAATGGGTTGAAGGTGATTAAATTAATCCCACGTCAGGGATGGTAGAGATTTAGCCCAGATTGGGCATTTGGGATCCTATCCAGATGTTTTTTGCTTGTTGCTTTCTCTTCACCTAATGAGAGGTTTAGAGAGAGTGATTGAGGGCAGTGAAATGTGGTTGGTTGGATGTTGTATTTATGTCAGAGACACTACCCTCATCAACATTTTCTGACCCACTCTAACTAAACAACTAATCTTTGGTTTCATTCGAATGTGTATATTTTTGTTGCAATTTTCTGGTATTTATATGAAACAACTTGTCACCCATATCCTATATCTGGACAATGCCAGAGGTGTGGGAGCAGGAAAAAATACAAAATTGTCTCTCTATCGTCTCAGCGGCAACCACCCACCATAAAGGATTTCCATTTAGGCAGGTTTCATTCCAGCCGAAAGATCAGAGCTAAACTGCCTCTATGGCCCTTCAACTTTAAAGCCCCGCTCCTGACTCAAGTCCTGACACGAGACCAGGAAGGAAGGAAGGAAGTCCCGCCCTTTAGAGAAATAGCAGGAACCTGGCTTCTGACTAACCCTGGAGAGCTATTGGTAATTCCAACGCCAACAGAAATACAACAAGGGAACTGAAGCGAGTAAAAGTCACACAAAGAGTGAAGTCGTTTTCATTTCCTCTCTGACTACAAATAGTTAGCTTTGAGCGAACTCCAACTCAGTCAGTCAGTAAAAATAATTGAGACATGCCCTGTAGGTCAGACATTTGGATACATTGGCATGGTCCAATTCCCCTGGTGACCTTGTGCAAATGTTCGCTTTGCATCATAAATGAACAGATTGGGAGTAAACAGACGGTGGATTTTCCAACAGCTCCAAAGCAGACCCCGAACAGAAGGCGAGAGACATTAACCCTTCTGTTATTTTACTATTACATTCCCTCACAGACCATACAGTTCAGACTGAAGCTCAGAGAAAGTGCAGAGGATTGTGTGTGTGTTGGATGGGATCCCGTTTCAGACCCATGGCCACTCCTGGATCTTACCTTTCCCTCCTTGATTTTGGTCCCAATGATCTGTCTCCTTTGCTGGATGATATCAATCAGGAGGTCGCATTCTTCCATCAGCTTTCCCTCCTGCCGTGATGCATTGACCTGAGAAACACAAATGAACCATAATTAATCTGTCTGATAATTCATAGCCTCATGGATACCATTTGTATGTCTGTGTGCAGTATGAAGGAAGTTAGAGGTAGTTTTGAGAGCCATTGCTAAATAGCGTCAGCGCAATGCCTGGAAGTCTACAGGAACACCAGCATATGGTTTGCACTAACGCTAGTTAGTAGTGGCTCAGCATTGGCTACCTCTAACTTCTTTCATACTGCATGCAGAGACAGAAAGATGGTATCCACAAGTTCATCTGACTCTGGCTATGTCGAAAAACGAATCTCGCAGTATCCCTTTAATGGTTTGTAATTATCAAAATGTCTGACCTACAGGGCATGTCTCAAGGCTAGGAATTAGAAAAAAGTAGAAAAAACAGATTAATTGCCAGAATCTTGCAGTATCCATTTAAAGCTCTAGTTCAACTAATGCTCATTCAGATGTCAGTTGGTTTTGCGTTGCAAATAATAACCTATGGGTGAATGAATCAATATTGAACCACAGTAACTTAATGTGTGTTTGTTTCTGGCTACTACAGAAAATAAGGAATGCCTGCGCCTGTGTTTTGCTGAGTCTAACAGTGCTCAATTCTATGTAGCATTTGGATCAGTCTACAGATCGGTGAGTGCATGCACGCTCAGGTCCACTTTACTAGCCACAGACCTTTGAAATAGATGCCTCTTTGGTGCCCGTTTTTATGTCCTGGGGAAACACAGATTTCACCACCTGGACAGGTTTCGACCGAAGCGATGCGAAACGTGGTGTGGGGAGTCATGAAAGAGGGGATTGTTTGAGCGTTGCCAGGCCAACGAGGTGTGTTAAGGTCACTCCCTGGTGTGGACAGGCTGTTTATAATATGAAAGGGACTCATTGAAACCCACACAGATCCGTTTTTTCAACGCCAGTAATTAGGTTCCTTTGCCCTGTGAGTGGGTTTATCTACTGTAAATTCACAGGGTTTAGAGGAGATCATGGGTGAGGGCCCCCATCTCTCCCTCTGATCTATGAAATATTTGTGGATTTTAGGTCTAATGAACCATCTATGTACTACAGTAGGAGCTGGATGTTCAGTGAGGACATACAGTATTCCTCTTAAATCATTCTAGCATCTCTTGAAATCTTAGATTAATTAGATTAATAATTATTAATTAGCCCCGCTTTTCTGTCTCTTTCTCTCTCTCCCCCATATACCTACAAAAACAGGCAAACAAGCATACACACACACATGCTGTTGCAATGATGCCATGACAGCATCATGAGTACACATGGCTGGCACACATCCTTTAGCTGTGGGCTCAGCCTTTGGCCATGGCAAGGGAGCGTGTGATGGACATGACAGATGAGTCTTTGGCAGGAGCATAAGTGATTCATTTAACCTGAAGGAGATGCGTTTCTGGAGAATTGCACTTCAAAAGAGCTCAGAAACTTTTAACAGAAGGCGGATTTGCTTTAGAAGGCTTTAAAATATTCAGTAATCTCTCCAAAAAGTACACACGCGTCCTGTGTACTCTCTTTAAGTGCTGAGAAAGGGTACCTTTCCACTCCTTGCACATTTATGTACAGTGATGATGACTATACTAAAAAAAACCTAATTGTAATCCTTGGGGTGGATATAGTGAATTAGAGTTTACACTCGCAGCAAATTAAAATCTACAGATTTAATGAAGTTGCTTCATGAGTTGCACAATAATTCTGCAGCTCATTCCACATTCCTCAATTATTCACGCAGATGACTTTTGAAAAGTTGATTCACTGAGCACAAGCTGCACACACACACACACACACACACACCACACAAAATAAATAACAGAAACACTCGAGAGTTAGCCTGTACAATCATTATTTAATGGGTGGAAGTGTGTTTAAAAACCATGTACACATTTGTTCCGACCTACATCCACCATGAAACAGAGGTCAGATATTTCCCCTCTTTCTCTCTGATGCATTATTTAAATACATCCATTTTGAAAGGACAAGGTTTGTGGATTTTAAAAGGCTAAATGTAATTACCAAAGTGGACTGACAAGTGGACCTGTCCTCAAATGTTGGCACCCTTTTAGTGTACTGGTTACAGTGTCCATGGAGACATAATACAATCTCTGTTTAGAGCATAAGTCAAAAAGATTCAGGCCATGTCATTTTCATTTCCTTGTCTATCCATATTTGAGATGGTTGTTAGAGGCAGAATAGCTAGCCTGCCCTTCCACCATGGGGCTGTAACTCTTTCCTCTCAGGCGCTTCTAATTTGAATCATCACAGATCAAGAACAAGTGACTATGGACAGAAAGGCTTAATCCAGAAGAACCTTCATTAAAGAAGTGGCACAACCAATCTTTTGTCTCAGTATTGATACATAAGTATAATCTGATTGTATTGCACATTTAATTGGACATTTAAATTGGACATTTATATAACATTTTTGTGTTACTTGACAACTCAATGATTAGTAGCCTACATATCAGGAAAATACTGTGCATTTTGAAATTGTAGAATATGATTCTATGTACAAATTCAGATGGTCAAACTCAAGCAGAGACAGGAGCATCTGTTGCCACATAAACTACTTTATGACTGACAGATCATGACATGACTGACATGACAACATTAGCATAAGCATGTCAGGGAAATCATAATTCTTCATTTGAAATTTGACATCAATACAAAAATCAACAAAGTTTGTTGTTTTTCTCTGAGGTGAACAGCATACAGTAAATTGGGCTTGCATCCCATGCACTATACTAACTAACTACAGTATGCCCCTTGCACGTGCACACATCCCTGGACTCATAGCATGGTCAGTGACATAGAGCACTCACCTCTACATGTTGACAGGTTTGGATCAACTTTCCCATCAACCCCTCCAACTCATTGTTCCTCTTGACCAAATGACTCAGGTTGGAATCCAACGCTTGCTGCAAAAGAAAGAGAAAAATACTATTGAAGACTTGATGCCTTGAACAAGGAAGACAAAAGAGAAACAACAGCTCTTGTCCTTGTTTTTCATACGAACAAGAATAGAAGAAGTTGGTTGAATTGCACAAAGCTAAAAAGCAACCTACCATACTTTCAAAAGAAAATAAACACAAAACCAAGCTGATGAAAAGGTGTCGGAGGTCCTACATTGCTGTTTTAGAGAGAGAAAGATGATAAAGCCAAAACAGAGAAGCTTCCTCCTCTCCTCCTCCTCCTTCTCCCTCGCTTCCTCCCTCTCATCCTCCTCCTCCCTCGCTTCCTCCCTCTCCTCCTCCTCCTTCCCTCTTCCCCTTCCAAAATCTCATCCACAGTTGTCACATTCGCTTTTGGATGATTTGGACACTAACCTCCGGGCGCTGCCCCTGTCCCTCGTCCCGATACCGCCTCATCCTGACTACTCAGTCTCCGAGCAGGACTCACAGCCTAACACGAGAGCCTGAGCCAGAGCCTGAGCCACTCCAGAAAAAAACTAACCAATCCATAAACCCGGCCGACCGGCAAATGAAGCGTCAAAAGCTCATCTGACAGCCCATCTACCTATCAAAGAGTCTTTATGTAAGCTGTTCTTTCTGACATTTTCCCCCCCTTTTGCCCTTCCTATTCTGCCTAGAAACAATCTGTCCTCTTTATTTCAACATTCTATCATATTATTGCCCAACCGACCATATTTAGCTACAATGTGATGCTCAGTGGGGATTCAATGGAGTTGCCCCATGGGTACACAGCGTAAACAACAGATGAGCCAGGCAGGAGAATTAGGTTGGGGGGGGCTTACCAGTCTAATGGATGGCCTTAATACGACGATGACATAAAAAAAAAAAAAAACGTTAAGGACCATAGGGGATGGCATGATCAACGGGGGTGTAAAAATAACTGAACCCGTGGAGGAAAACAGCAATACTACAAGGACTACTAGCGTGTCTTCTTGCTTGAATGGACATACTGAATAGGTATCACTGGGAACCAAAACCATAGTTCAGTCACCAACTAAGGGGTCAAACAGTATGCCCCATGTGACTCCCTCCATTATGTTCTCTTCAGCATATTCAATCTAATGGGCGATTGAAATTGACGTTAATACAATGGAATTTGTCCCCCACGGTCCTGAGAAGATTAATTCAAATGTCCCTGTTGTAAATTTGTATTAGGGTCAGGAGAAATCACTCTTGATCTCATGTATTTATAGCCCATAGTCTCAACTCATTGAGTTTCAAGTGGAAACAAGCTGTCACGATCGCTGAAGGAAGAGGACCAAGGCGCAGCGTGGAATGCGAACACACTTTTATTTTTAATGATCACACGAACAAAACGATACGTGACGTCCTTGGCAATAGACACTAACCAAACACGGAACAAAATCCCACAAACACTGTGGCAAAACAGGCTACCTAAGTATGGTTCCCAATCAGAGACAACAAGCAACAGCTGATTCACGTTGCCTCTGATTGAGAACCACACCGGCCAACATAGAAACAAATGAACAACCTAGCACACAAAACACATAGAAACAACCCACCCTGGCTCAACATAACAGAGTCCCAGAGCCAGGGCGTGACATAAACCGAACAGGGGAGGGCCGGGTGGGCATTCCTCCTCGGAGGCGGTTCCGGCTCCGGGCTTGACCCCCACCCTCCAACAAACCCCCCATAGTGCCCCTGGTCCGGTCTGGCTGGATCTGGACTGGACATCGGTGGAGCGGATCGCTCAGGCTCCGATGTGGAGCAGCTAACCGGTACCTGACCAGGCACCGGTGACCCAGGCACGGGCTGTGCCGGACTGACGACGCGCACCACAGGCTTGGTGCGGGGAGCAGGAACAGGCCGGACCGGGCTGACGACGCGCACCATTGGCTTGGTGCGGGGAGCAGGGACGGGCCGAACCGGGCTGACGAAGCGCACCACTGGCTTGGTGCGGGGAGCAGGAACAGGCCGGACCGGGCTGATGACGCGCACCACAGGCTTGGTGCGGGGAGCAGGGACGGGCCGAATCGGGCTGACGAAGCGCACCACTGGCTTGGTGCGGGGAGCAGGAATGGACCAAAACGGGCTGACGACGCGCACCACTGGCTTGGTGCGGGAAGCAGGAACGGGCCGGACCGGGCTGGCGACGCGCACCACTGGCTTGGTGCGAGGGGCAGGAACAGGCCGGACCGGGCTGGCGACGCGCACCACAGGCTTGGTGCGAGGGGCAGGAACATGCCGGACCGGGCTGGCGATGCGCACCACAGGCTCAGTGCGAGGGACAGGAACAAGCCGGACCGTACTGGGGACACACACCACTGGCCCTACGCGGGGATCAGGAACGGGCCGGACCGGACTTGCAACACACCCCAGTACCTCTCGCCGTGCCTATACATTCTCCTTCCCCCTGCTGACCAGTGACTCCCTTAACCTGGCGGCCTCCTTTGCCAACCCGCTGAACCACTCTATCCCGGCCTCCTGCTGCCCCGTCGTCCACGGCGTGAGCCCCCCCCTAAAAATGTTCTGGGCGTCTCTCCTCCCCGTGGGCCAGGCCTCCATAGAAACAAATGAACAACCTAGCACACAAAACACATAGAAACAACCCACCCTGGCTCAACATAACAGAGTCCCAGAGCCAGGGCGTGACACAAGCTCTGGGTTGAGGAGGATATTTGTGAAGTATTTTCTTCTTATTTACCTCGTAAGAAGTCAGAAGAAGTCAGAGTATCAGAAGAAATATGAAAGAAGCATCTGTTACACATCTTGGGACTGTTGGACAATGAATAATGTATGACTATGTTGGGGTGATCCAACCCTGTTGTCTGTAAATGTGTTGATAGAGTAAATGAGATCCACTGAGAGATAAATCATGTGGACAAGAACTCTGTTGAAAGACCTTTGGCTGTATGGAGGAAAGAAAGGTCTGTCATGGTAGAAGGAAAGACTCATATTAGGCAGGAGACACATGGTCGACATCAAACCCAAATAACAGCCTATCCATTTACCAAATAGACTAGTTCCCTTCATTGCAGAATATCAGTAGCCACATTTCAGTAGTTAACATTTCAAACTGGGAGAAATCCCTGGTCATTAGTGGAAGGGTATATATGGGAAACTTTTGAGATTCAAATACAGTTCTATAAAAAAGTGGGCTACTCCTGAGTGTGGTCAGATGACATTGAAGGCAGTTGCAGGGAGTTCTACAAAGGGAAAAGATTCTAACGTCTTTCCTTCAACATCTGTATCTAATCAAGAGAAAGCTACCACTAACCAAGCTTTCAATGGCTTCTTGCTACTTGACCTTCTAAGATCCCTGTAAGAACCCTTTACTATGAGGGAAAAACATTTACTATCCAATATTTGATCATATCTATTTTGGAGGAACCACCAATGGCATCTAAAACACTATTTATGTGACACTATCACAGCATTTAGAGAGCTGAGGACAGGCAAGGCTGTTTTTATCTTAATGCACAAGTCAACCTATAATTTATGCGTGTGGCTTGTAAATAACAAAAGTATTAACCTCTTTGGATGTCCATTTCTATTCCATTGTTTGCCTTTGTTAACGGCGTTACTCAGAAGGACCAGGATCACGACTTCGCCCTTTTCTCCTTCTGCCATAGCCCGAAGTGAGCATCCCCCTAAAGCATCCCCCCTAAGATGCGTGCGTCCTAGGAGGCCTACCATCTTCACACCTCTGAGTAAAATGAATGAGTCATTGCTATGGTGTGTCAGGTCCTGTACCTTTATACTGTTAACAAGGTCACTGATAAAACATGGCGTGTGACATAACTCTTTCTGCATCCTCTACACGACGGTAACTAGGCTGTTTTTTGTGCTTTGCCTGGCATTTAATTACATGCAAGCATATACCTGGATTCGCTGGTCAGACACTGATTTGAAAAATTAACAAAAGCTAGCAGACAATGGCCCCGAATAACTACATTTCCTATCATGTCATTGCCCATTCCCCAATATTACATAACACAATACCAAACTTCTCTGAGCAAGACTTCTGTTAGGAATAGTAACAAGAAACATGTTTTATCCCTGTTTTATCTCACTGTGTGTGGTATTGACTGACATGCAGTGATGTTAGACATAGTTAGCCTCAGGCAGTGATGTCATGGGAGTAGACCGATTATCCTATAATGTTCCTACACCACTGTCTCTTTCCTCATAGGCAGGTGGGACATTGTTTTCCTGCTCACTCTGTGTCTGGGTGTCCCTGAACAAGCAGTCTAATCCTCTGAAAAATGTCTGTCATCACACATCACAACTCCCTCTAACCTGTTGTTGCAGCCAGGTCACACCAGATCCACTTCAGTATTCAACGTTTGTCCAGGACATCGGGAGATGCCTTCGATACCGTCCACTAGGGGCAACGTGAGCACCTATTACTATCTAGTAGGCTGGCGGCTTGATAGGGTGTTATGGGTTAGGATAGAGGAAGGGCTTGAACTGCAAGCTACGGCTCAGAGGATCACGGTTTCATTCCCAGTGCTAGGCACTCATTTGCATTGATTCTGTTCTAACCCTATTCCAAACCTTAACCGTTACCTTAAACAGTCGGAATGAATGCCTAAACTTAACCGTTACGTTTGTTTTCTGTTTTATCCCTTTGAGATCAACAGTTGCAAAAATGCAACGCTGCCTACATTGCATCACGTACAGGTCCTAAACAAAAAAATTATGTCAAACACTATATGCATCTCCTTAGACACATATTTATATCTTAGTAGTATTTGTTGTGTGTCAGTATGATTAGTTTGGCATCAGTAACCTCTGGAACATTAGAAACCTGTCCACTCGACTGAGACTGCACTGGTCCCCTACAAAAGCATATGTTGGTAGCCATCCATGCAAGTACATGACTTGAACAATGTTTTGCTGTCTTCTCTAAGATGTAGTGATTGTGTAAAAAAATATATAAAAAAATACATTCTGAACCCAAGCTAGAGGTATTTTCTAAATGT